CGCCACTTGGGAGCGCGGTGACGCTCCCGCCGAGGGTTCGGATCCCACATACAGACCGGCCACTCACTGGCTGAGCGAGGTGTGGGCACAACACCAAGGGTTGCGATCCCGTTGCTGGTCCTGGTCCGGTACGGGCGTGACACTGAGGGTTGCGATCCGTTGCCGGACACGAAAAAAGACAAAAAAAAAAAAGGAAAAAAAACTACTTGAAAGTGGGTTGGACTGTTGAACATGGAATTGGTTAACGCTCTGTGATATCTGCCCTGTCCTGAGACTGGATTGTGTATTCTCTGATACCCTGAGCAATTATCTGAAAGCATTATTTGCTGGGATTATAGATGGTATTTCTAATGCCTAGGAAGTTAGGATTTGGATTGTTAATAAATTCTAAAATGAAATCTCGCAAGTAGCTTAGTGTTTTATGTTGAAAATTTTTGAATATGCGTGAACTAATTGGGAATATTCTATAGTGTTTTCTCTAGCCTCTAGGAAACACTGCTATTGTGTAATTCTCTGATTCCCTTAATCTGATGGATGCTTGTTGTTGCTGTGTTCTAAAGTCCCACTTCATCCTTTGTCATAGCATTTATCCCCCTGAAATGTAACCACCAGTCTACCCTCATTTCCTCATTTATCTCTGGATCCTAATCTCTTTGAGGTCAAGGACTATGTCTTATTTGACTTGATCTCTAACATCTAGCTCAGTATAAACTCAGTAATTAACAATGAGTGAATGAGTCCTCATATTCTGGAAGCAAAGAACAGATGGTTGACCTTTGAAGAAAGAGGGAAGAAAGCAGAACTGTATTGACTGGAGAAGTAGGAAAAGAACCAAAATAGGATTCTATCATGGAAATCAAGGGAAAAGAGGAGAAACTTTCAAAAAATTAGCAAATACCATAAAGAGGTCAATGAGGAGGAGGATTTTATTTTTTAAAAAAAGAATTCTGGCATTTCTCAAAGTCATTAGTGGCTGTATAAATGTGAGCTAGAAACAAGATCTCAAGGGATTAAGGGGAGAATACAAGATGAGAAAATGGGGGTAGACAGTAAAAATAAAATAAAATAAGACAAGCAACACAAAAAACCCAAAAAAAACAGAGAAGTGAGGCCACGACAGGAGGATTTGGAAGTGGCTGAGCAGAGTGACAGAACTAAAGGCAGCATCCTCACTAGGAAGGAGAAGGGTGTTGGTTGCAGCCGAGATGACAGGTTGCTTCAGTGACCTCTCCTGGCCCCCTGGAGAGACTCACGTGGGCTCACCCCTTCAGCGTCTCGGTGGTTCTGGATCAGGCTGAGGCAGCAGTATGTTTATGCAGAAGCCATGTGTGCTAAGCCCTGTACTGAGCCCTTTTCTTTGAATGATTTTGTTTCTTTTAACTTGTATCCTCCCTTTCCCACAGGAAACATGGTGGAATGGTGCTTACCTCAGGATATTGATCTTGAAGGTGTTGAGTTCAAGTCTATGGCCAGTGGATCCCATAAAATTCAGTCTGATTTTATGTAAGTACTTCTTTTTTTTTTTTTCCTTTTTTTGTCTTTTTTCGTGTCCGGCAACGGATCGCAACCCTCAGTGTGGTGCCCGGACCGGACCGGGACCGGCAACGGGATCGCAACCCTCGGTGTTGCGGCCGCACCTCGCTCAGCCAGTGAGCGGGAACCGGTCTTTATGTGGGATCTGAACCCTCGGCGGGAGTGCCACCGCACTCCCAAGCGGCGCACTGTAGCAGTGCGCCACCGGGCCGGCCCTGGCTTCAAATATTTCTAATAAGGTATCAA